AATAATAATCACCATCATAATCCGATCACGAAGCACAGCACGAATAACATTCATAATAATACTAATAATAAGTTCAATAAAAATAGGATTCGTATTAATGATGAGGAATTCGAATAATGACAATACGAATAAGAGTAAAAGTAATACTACGAAAAATACGATGAGTAAGAGTAAGGGTAAACATAATAATGCGAATCATCAAAACCACAATCCGAAAACGAATCATACTAATACTTGCGATGGTAAAGGTAATAAATGTAAACATACTTAGATTAATGATAATATTACTAATAATAATCAAAACAATAATGTGAACAGTCATCAACTATTGTGTTCATTATCTTCACCATCATTGTCGTATACGAATTGTATTACCACCCCTGTTGAAACATTTTTTTCCCCAGCCGCCGTGGGTAGTGCATCCGAGGATATCGCCCCGCCACGCACGGCGCGTCATTTTAGCACCGCACCCGCACAAAGTAGTAACGACAGCTTGTCCACAAAGAGAGGAAGTACAATAAGACGAATAGTAATAATAGTAATAATAATATTACTACTAATAATAATCATAATGATAAAGATAGTAAAAGTAATAATAATAATATTGAGAAGCTGAGTAATAATACGAATGAGAGTAAGGATGACAATAAGAGTAGACATGCGAAAACAGACGGCATCCCCGGCTGCGTTCCTCCCTCCCCCTTTTTCTTATACTCGTCATCATCATTGCCTTGTACGATTCTTAGTACGACCCCTATTGAAAACATGTGTTTTCCCGGCCGTCGTGTGGGGTAGTGTTTATCCGAGGAAATCGCCCCCGCCACGCACGGCGCGTTATCTTAGCACCCGCACCGCCAAACTTATTCGCCCCCCCATCGTAGGCACGGACGGTTATGTTTTAAAGGTGGGCGTTCCCTTGCGTGGGACTTAATGCTGTTATTGTTGGTGTTGGCGGTGTTGTTGTTGTTCCCAACCGTCTTGTGGTGTTGGGTCCTCGTTTTGAAGAGACGGCACCCCGCGTTCCTCTCCTTCTTCCTTCCCGCCCTCCTCCTCCTCCTCCCTCCTACCCCTCATCGCCTCTGCTTTCGGCACACCTCTCACACGTTTCGTAGCCCCATAAGGAGCTACACCGAAGGCCCCAGTGGGGGTGTCCACATGCGGTTCCCCCACCCAGGGCAGCGCTTCGTAGCCCCATAGGGCACTCCACCGAAGGCCCCAGTGGGGGTGTCCACATGCGGTTCCCCCTACCCAGGGCAGCGTTTCGTGGCCCCATTTGGAGCTCCACCGAAGGCCCCAGTGGGGGGGTCCACATGCGGTTCCTCCACCCAGGGCAGCGCTTCGTAGCCCCATAGGGAGCTCCACCGAAGGCCCCAGCGGGGGTGTTCACATGCGGTTCCCCCACCCAGGGCAGCGCTTCGTAGCCCCATAGGGCACTCCACCGAAGGCCCCAGTGGGGGTGTCCACATGCTGTTCCCCCACCCAGGGCAGCGCTTCGTAGCCCCATAGGGGAGCTCCTCCGTAGGCCCCAGTGGGGGTGCCCACATGCGGTTCCCCCACCCAGGGCAGCGTTTCGTAGCCCCATAGGGGGCTCCACCGAAGGCCCCAGTGGGGGTCCACATGCGGTTCCTCCACCCAGGGCAGCGATTCGTAGCCCCATAGGGAGCTCCACCGTAGGCCCCAGTGGGGGGGTCCACATGCGGTTCCCCCACCAGCGCTTCGTAGCCCCATAAGGAGCTACACCGAAGGCCCCAGTGGGGGTGTCCACATGCGGCTCCCCCTACCCAGGGCAGCGTTTCGTGGCCCCATAGGGAGCTCCACCGTAGGCCCCAGTGGGGGGGTCCACATGCGGTTCCCCCACCCAGGGCAGCGTTTCGTGGCCCCATAGGGAGCTCCACCGTAGGCCCCAGTGGGGCTGCCCGCATGCGGTTCCCGTACACAGGGCAGCGCTTCGTAGCCCCATCGGAAATTCCACCGTAGGCCCCAGTGGGGGTGCCCGCATGCGTTTCCCCACCCAGGGCAGCGCTTCGTGGCCCCATAGGGAGCTCCACCGAAGGCCCCAGTGGGGGGCGTTCGCATGCATCTCCCCCACCCAGGGCAGCGTTTCGTAGCCCCATAGGGAGCTCCACCGAAGGCCCCAGTGGGGGCGTTCGCATGCATCTCCCCTGCCCAGAGGTAGCGCCACCGAAAACGATATTCATATTTGCGGCATTCACAACTGCATATGGTTTGGTCATTCGCCAGGCTAATTGTTTTTGATGTTGATGTTCTTGTTGTTGTTGTTGTTGTTGTTGTTGTTGTTGTTATTGTTGTTGTTGTTGTTGTTGTTGTTGTTGTTGTTGTTGGTGTTGGTGTTGTTGCTGTTGCTGTGGTTGTGGTTGTGGTTGAACACTATTTCTTCTTAAGAATAATTATTGTTGGGACCCCTGGTGCACGACCCCCCCGCCGCGCCTAGGCCGCAGCCACGTTTTCATCATTTTCGTGAGGAAGCCTCAGGCAAAACGATGTGGTCCAGATCCGGTTGTTTTGTTGTCCCCCGCTTTCCCTTGCAAAAAATAAGCTAAAGTGGACATTTCTTGTTCTAACATAACCAAACTTCACGAATCCCTTGCAAAAAATAAGGTAAAGTGGACATTCGCGCGCGCAAGACGAAATCCTTCCAAAACCTTAGTGTTCGTAGCGATTTTAACATCAAAACATCAAAAAAAACAATGTTTTTTTCAAAAAAAAAGCGTCAAACTTTCATCCCGCGCGCTCTTGCGGATTTGTAGGAAACCCAACACTTTTTAAACATTTCTGTCAAACGGGCTTTTGCGAGCAACTTTTTCGAACTTCTGCAACAACGGTTGCGCACCTGCCAGGGCCATCATCCCTGTCAAATAATACCATGCGGGACACATTCGTTTTTTCTTCGCGCGCGCACGCCGTCGTCGTCGGCCGCGGGGCCCTGAATAGTAGCCACGGTCGTCCGCATGCCACGAAGTGAAGTGTCCGAACGTCATAGGGCGGGAAGCTGGGTGTGGGTGGTGGCGAAGAGTCGTTTGGAAATTTGGTAGAGCTTGAACCGGCCCCCCCACAAAGTGGGGGTATTGCCCGCCTCCCATGAAAACCCTGGCACTGGTGAGAACGGAGTGTCCCCACTTAAGATGATTGTTGTTGTTGTTGTTGCTGTTGCTGTTGCTGTTGTTGTTGTTGTTGTTGGTGGTGTTGCTGTGATTGGCCTTGTTGCCCTAGATATAATTAGTTTTGCTGGTATGATTGACGTTGCTCGTGTTGGTGCCGTGCCGTAAGGGAGTCTTGAGGAGGAGGAGCAGGAGGATGATTTTTCTGTTTTAGGCCAAGGCCTCTTGACTGAGGCCTTGGCCCTCGGCTTGACCCGTAATGGCGAATAATAGCCAAAATGGCTACGGGGGGGAAGAGGAGGAGGAAGAGGAGGAGGACCCCTGATGAGGAGGAACAGGAGGATAAGGACCCCTGAAAAGGACGAAGAGAAAGAGGACGAGGACCCCTGCTCGGAAGGCCGAGCGCTGGGAAGACCGACCACCTGACGCAGACTCGTCTGCGTCCAGAGCAGTTTCTGAGGATGTCTCAGGGGCCCGATTTTCTCTGCGCCGACGTCGACGATGCATTGGCGATGCGGCGCGATCCGTCGATCCCATCTACTCGGACCCCTTCTAGGAGGCCTCTAGACTGTCAGGCGCGGAACTGCAGAGGGAGAGAGAGGACCTACCCTTCCTCCCGTCTTCTGTCTGTGGGGGGCGAGTCGTGCTCGCGGAGGCGGCAGAGTTGTGGTTCTTCCCCCGCGGCTGCGGCGGCTGCGGAGCTGCGGCACTCCAGCCCTTGATGCCCGGCATGATTCGTGTGCTGTCGAGAGACCCGGCTCCGGCAATCTCCAGCCGCTCACACATGGATGTTTCTGAGTATTACTGCTGGAATTCCTCTGGAGGAAGCGGAGCGGAGGAGGAGGAGGAGGAGAAGGAGGAGGAGGAGGAGGAGGAGGAAGAGAAGGAGGAGGAGGAGGAGGAAACGCCGACACACGCCGACACACGCCGACAGGGTCGGCGGATTTGTGGCCTGGTTGTTTTTAATTCTTAGGCTCGCACTCGTGCGTGTCAGCGCGCGCCCCACCAGCGTCCTCGGGCCCCGCCGCGCGCCCGCCTCGAAGAAAAGGCGGCACGCAACAACAAGAAGACTCGGAGCTCCGCGCGGGTTTTTCGCATCGGCGCTGCCCCCCCTCCCTCCTCCTCCTCCCCCTCCTCCTCCTCCTCCTCTTCCCTCCTCTTCCTCCTCCCTCCTCCTCCTCCCCCTCCTCCTCCCCCCTCCTCCTCCTTTTCCTCCTTTTCTCCTCCTCCTCCTCCTCCTCCTTCTCCTCCTCCTCCCCCTCCTCCTCCTCCTCCTCCTCCTCCTCCTCCTCCTCCTCCTCCTCCTCCTCCTCCTCCTCCTCCTCCTCCTCCTCCTCCTCCTCCTCCTCCTCCTCCACCTCCTCCTCCTCCCTCTCCCCCTCCCCCTCCTCCTCCTCCTCCTCCTCCTCCTCCTCCTCCTCCTCCTCCTCCCTCTTCTCCTCCTCCTCTCCTCCTCCTCCTCCTCCTCCTCCTCCCTACCTCCTCCTCCCTCTCCTCCTCCTCCTCCTCCTCCTCCTCCTCCTCCTCCTCCTCCTCCTCCTCCTCCTCTCCTCCTCCTCCTCCTCTCCTCCTCCTCCTCCTCCTCCTCCTCCTCCTCCCTCCTCCTCCCCTCTCCCCCCTCCCCCTCCCCCTCCCCCTCCTCCTCCTCCTCCTCCTCCTCCTCCTCCTCCTCCCTCTTCCTCCTCCTCCTCCTCCTCCTCCTCCTCGACTTCTTGGCGCGCGGGCAGAGCGCAGCAGGGGCGGCGTCGGAGGCGGCGCTAGGGTGCCCCGGCGCCGATCCGAGAAGTCCTTGCTGTGACCTCCTACAGTTCCTGTTCATGTCGTTGCTTGTGCCGCCACGTCCAGCGCCGACTGCCCCTGCCGCGCGCTCCTCGGCCAGAGGAGCACGGCTTCAGCGTGACGTTCTTCCACGGCAAGGGTGGCACCGTGGGCCGCGGCGGCAACCCGCAGGCCGCCCGAACCCCTTGGAGCGCCGCGGCCGCGCTCGACCTCGGACGGCGCACGATGGGGCTTGCGGCGGGCGCCTCCTGGAGGAAGAGGTTTCCGTGTTCGTTTTCTCTCTCCTCCTCTGTCTTTCTCTTTCCTCCTCCTCCTCCTCTCTCCCTTCTCTTTTTTTGTTCACGCTTACTCTTATCATTCTTAGTATTATTATTTAGGTTTAGAGGTGCAATATTAATAAGATAATACGGATGATTACCATTACTCTTATTAGTAATAAGAAATTCAAAGTAAGGTAATACGTATATATAGTAATTATCAAGTCAGCTTTCTTCAACCTAAGAATTACTCTTATTCGTAATAAGATACTCTTACTAGTAATAGTCTTATTATTACTCTTGCTTGTTTGGGGTAGTTGTTGGGTTTCTTTTTAATTCCCGTCCAAAATCGGTCTTCAGGGGGGCACGCCCGACCTAACACTAACTTTAAGTCGGGCGTGTCTCTCTACAGGAAGAAGATTCAAAAACAGTCCAAACATAGTATGGGGACTATGTTTTGATTCTTGTTTGACAAGTTTGGGTGTATGTCTAATTTTTTTATTTTCCGCCCAAAATCGGCCTTTAGGGGGACACGCCCGACTTAACACTAACTTGAGGTCTCTCCACTACTGCTGCGGCACGTTGTCCCGTTGCAGGTGGCAAAGCGTCGGGTTTCCCCAAAGGGGCCTCATCAGGTGGGTCCAGCCACGATCCAAGAATCAGGAGGGAAAACAACACAAAGACACAATGAATCGTCGATTCCCTAGAAAATATTGGAAAATCTGGGAAGTGGGGGGGGAGACAGAAACCGTGAAAATATTGCAAAATATTGGGAATCTAGTTATTTGTGTGTGTTTTTATTTGTGTCCGTGGGCCCCTTCAAAGAAATCTGCGCGGACCTCCGCAAGTTTAGGTTTATCCAGGACGCACACATATACATCAACAGCGCGGGCTGGTTTTCTGCCAGGGGGGTGATCGGATTGTTGTTTCGGCGGTGGGTTGCAGGGTGCGTCCAACCTCGCGACAATGACATGTCGCGAGTGCAGCGTCATGTGGGCACGCGGTTGCATGCGCAACAAATCAGCACCCTCACGTGGTGTGTATTTCGGGGTGGTGTGTACCATTCCCGGGTGGGCCCATCGTGTTTATACACCGCCAGCGTGTTGTCATAAAGTGTTTGAGCAATTATTCACGACCGAATGCGGCCGCCATCTTTGCGCATGACCACGGGGCAAGTACTTCCGCTTGGCGGGGGCAGGCAGTGACACCCCTGTCGGGGCGGTCGCGCGCAGGATTTGTTCCTTTCCTATGGCCGCCAGGTGGTTGTGTATATTTTGTGACCCCGCAGTTTCTATATTTTTCACGTTTCTACTCGTCCTCCCTCCTCCGTCCGCGATCCCCTCCCAGCCCTGCGCCGGCCTCAGGTGTACAAGGCGGTGCTCGCGCACCCGCAGGGCACCATCGGCGGCCGCTTCCGCATCACGGAGCAGGGCGAGATGATCTCAAAGAATTGGGGAGACAAGATGGCACCGCGCCTCCCTTGAGAAGGAGGAATAGGAGGAGGAGGAGGAGGAGGAGGAGGAGGAGGAGGAGGAGGAGGAAGAGGAGGATCATAGGTGGATCGATGGCGGAGGTGGGGGAGGCTTTGGAGGCGTCGGGGGGATGGCATGCGGCCCTGAGAGGCTTGCACGCGCGCTGGTCGCTTCGTCTCCCCTGTCAGACGTGCGCCCGGTCAGCCGGATTCGCGGCCGTTGCAGGAGCAGGAAGATCGATTCTTCCCAGGTGGGGTGCGAGCACATGAATTCGGGGGATCGCGCCGCATCGCCGATGCATCGGCGATTCGGACCGATGGGGGACCCGATTCTCTCCACGCCGACGACGCCGGTGATTGGCAATGGATCGGTGATGCGGCGCGACCCTCCGACCCCATCTGCTCGGATCTCATGTGGGAGGCCCTCTCCAGAGGAGGAGGAGTGATGAGGGTGCACGCTAAGTGCTTCAGAGGAGGAAGATCTGCCACTGCCGCTGCCCTTCCCTCGTCGCCACGGCTGGATTCGCATGGCTATGGTGCCACGACGTGTGTGAGGGGTGCGCCAGAATGGGCGCGGCGGCCGCACGCAAGCGCTGGCATCTGGCCCTTCGGTGGAGCTCCCTATGGGGCCACGAAATGTGCGAGGGGTGTGCCAAAATGGGTGCGGCGGGCGCATGCGAGCGCTGGCACCTGGGCCTTCAGTGAAGTGCCTTACGGTGCCACGAAGCGTGTGAGGGGTGCGCCAACATGGGTGCGGCGGCTCATGCGAGCAGTGGCATGTGGCCCTTCGGTGGAGCTCTCTATGGGGCCGCGAAACGTGTGAGCGGTATGCCAAAATGGGTGCGGAGACCGCATGCGAGCGCTGGCCTGTGGGCCTTCGGTGGAGCTCCCTATGGGGCCAAGAAACGTGTGAGGGGTGTGCCAACATGCATGTGGAGCTTCCTGTGGGACCACGAAACGTGTGAGGGGCGTGCCAAAGTGAGGGAGGAGGGGGCGGAGGAGGAGGAGGAGGAGGAGGAGAAGGAGGAGGAGGAGGAGGAGGAGGAGGAGGAGGAGGAGGAGGAGGAGGAGGAGGAGGAGGAGGGGAGAGGGAGGAGGCGCGTGGACCGTCTCTTCAGAACGAGGACCCAACACCACAGGACGGCTGGGGAAAATTGCTTCAGAAGGGGCGTGGGCTTCGGATGCCCTTGGTTATGAAGGTAATCGGTCCTCCGCTTACGGTAGGTTTGCGTCGTGTCGACCAGCGGCGACCCCAGCGCGGGCGTTCAAGGTTGAACGCCGCCGGCGACCCAGAATCGATCGATGTTGAACGATCGGACGTTGCGGCAGCGGCCGATCGTTCAAGGTTGAACGATCCCTGCGGTGTCAAAAACCAACGCTGGGGTCGGCACGACACGAACCTGCCGTAGCTGCCCTGGTACGCCCGTGTTGCAACGCAGCACGTACCGTGTCGAAAGCGTCCGTGTTAACACGCTGCGTGTTGGCGCGCCACTCGTTGGCCCACGTTTTGGGCAAGCGTATCGCGCCGGAGCCGCGATTTCAATCCACGCTTTGAGCCTCGTGTCAACACGCTACGTGCTGCGTGTTGCGTATCGGGGCAGCTGAGGTCCTCCATCGTGTCGCACTTCTCGTCCTCGCCCTCCGGCGCGAGGGGACCGCGCCTCCCGACCACTCGCGCCAAGTGCCTACTCGCAAACGTCCGAAATATACAGGTCTTCCTCTATGTAATATATCGTAAATACTCCGCGGCGGATCCAGGCAATTTGCGAGCAGTAGCTTTGCGAGTCGTGAAACGCGCCTGCCCACATTGGTTATGAAGGCAAGCGGCCCTCCGTCGCGCCGCACTCTCCTCGTCCTCGCCCTCCGCCGCGAGGGGGCCTCGTCTTCCGATCGGTCTCATGCGCGTGCCGCTCCGCACCTCCAGAGCCGAGCGGCCCGCCTGCAGCTTCCCGGCAGGGAAACAACACACAGACACATGGAATCGTCGACCCCCTGGAAAATTTGGGAGACGAAGATCCAAGAGGTGTGGAAAAGTATCGGGGCATCCTGTGATTAGTGCGTATTTCTTTGCGTGTCCTTGGGCCCCATGCACCCCTCCTGGCAGGAAGGAAGAGGAGGAACCTTTCGCCATGTGGGAAACGGGTCCTGAGGGAAACGGGTCCTAAGGTTTTTCGCCGCTTCTGGCTTCCCGGAGCCCGCCACGGGCCCCGGCTCCGTCAGAAAACGGCACGGGAGGAAGAGCTGGTCTTAGAGGACCACTCGGCATAAGCTTAAGTCGGGCCTGTCCCTTTACAGGAGGATATTCAAAAAAAGTCCAAAAATCGTATGGGGACGATTTTTGTGCATTGCTTGACTATTTCCCTACCTAGGCTCTGCCTAGAAGGGTTCTTACTCTCTAGCTTAAAGGGGCCGGGCAGTGGAAAGCGCCCCGGGCGGTTCCCCCAGTCCCCTGGTAGCGGTTCCCCCCAGTCCCCTGGGAGCTTTAGCTTAGCTTTAGCTTTAGCTTTAGCTTTAGCTCAGCTTTAGCTTAGCTGTAGCTTAGCTTTAGCTTAGCGTTTCGCTTAGCTTTTCGCTTAGCGTTTAGCTTAGCTTTAGCTTAGCTTTAGCTTAGCTTGAGCTTAGCTTGAGCTTAGCTGTAGCTTAGCTTTAGCTTAGCTTTAGCTTAGCTGTGGCTTAGCGTTAGCTTAGCTTTAGCTTAGCTTTAGCTTAGCTGTAGCTTAGCTTTAGCTTAGCGGTTGCTCAGTTTTAGCTTAGCTTTAGCTTAGATTTAGCTTAGCGTTAGCTTAGCTTTAGCTTAGCTGTAGCTTAGCTTTAGCTTAGCTTTAGCTTAGCTTTAGCTTAGCTTTAGCTTAGCTTTAGCTTAGCTTTTGCTTAACTTTAGCTTAGCTGTGGCTTAGCGTTAGCTTAGCTTTAGCTTAGCTTTAGCTTAGCGTTACTGTTACTACTAATGCTGCTTTCCTAGGGGTTCCAACTCCTAGGTAGGGTCGCACTGGGATAATTTACAGCATTTGGTTGTATTTTTTATCTGTTGTCCAAAACCCGCCTGCAGAGGGACACGCCCGACCTAAGCAGAAGCATCGAAGCAGAACGAACTGCATAAGCACACATTTCGGAGGGTCTGCGCGGATCTCTGGGATCTGCGCTGGGCGCCCCTGGCGGCGCCTCCGGCGCCGCCCCCGGCGCGCTCCGCGGGCCAGGGAGGGGATCCAGCTCGGATCCCGGAAGTCCGCGCGGATCGTCGATTGAGGAATTGGCCGTTTTCGCCTCGCGACGCGAGAGGGCGTCGCGGCCGTCATTTTTGCGGGTCCAGGTCCGTCGGTTTCGGTCCCAGGCCGTTTTCACTAAGGGGAGGTTTACCAAAGGGAGGTTTGTCCACCGCCGACGTCTGCTCTTCCCCCGTCGGCGGTGCAAACGTATGTGTGGCCTCGTCGCCGCCGCCTCGTCCTCCTCCGTCTCCTCCTCTGTTTCATCATGCTTCGCCGTCTCTCACAGCCCACCGAACCACCCCAACTCAACCCGAAGGCCCCGATTTGCCCTCCATTTCCATTGGGGGGAGGGTCGAGGCACACTGGACAACAAACATATGGCTTCGAGATCCTTCTTTGCGCTCCTGGTTCCTCATCACCGCACTTGTCCGTTCATCTCTTGTCCACCTCTCTCTCCTCCTGCTCGCTGCTCCGCTGCTTCTGCCGCAGCGCATCATCCTCACCCCACCTGCTGCTGCTCCTCCTGATCCTCCGGCCCCCCACCCCCGCCTCCCCCTCCATCTCTGTCTCCTCCTCCTCCTCCATCTCTTCCTCCTCCTCCTCCTCCTTCCTCCTCCGTTCCAGCGGCGGCTCTTTCCTGCTTGCTCATCCCTCCTCCTCCTCCTCTTCCTCCTCCTCCACCTGTTCTTCCTGTTCTTCCTCTCCACTCCCCCACGCCTCCCACTCCCCCCCTCCTCTCCATTCTTCCCATCCTCCCCTTCTCCTGACCAATCGTGCTCCGAATCGTGCGCTTCCGACTCCCGCCCTGCCCAGGCGGCCGAGCGCACGATGAACATCTACACGGCAGCGGTGCTCCGCGACCAGTTCAAGCAGCGTCCCGAGCCCACGGCGGCCTGGCGAGAGAACATGGCCCGCGCCCGCCCCGTTCAGCAGGCAGCGCGGCAGGCACGCCACATGAGAGATCGGCCCGTCGGCAGGCCCCCCTCCCCACGGACATGCCCTCTCCAACGATGGCCCCAGGGTCCCACAGAAGCTTGTGGCACCTTGGGGCCCTCGAAGGTCGACGAACACGGTGTCCCAGTTGTTCTTGTCTTCCAGTGGCGGGATGTCTTATCGTATGTGCCTGCTGCCGCTTTTGCGCTGGGACGGCTGGGGAGATGCCTATTCAGGCTGGTTCGCCTGACTACTGCCAGGAAGTATGGCCTCCGCCGCCGTTTTGCCTGCAACCTTGTGCCCCCATTCAGGGGAGGAGGCAGGGAGGAGGAGGGAGGAGGAGGATGAGGAGGAGGAGGAGGAGGAGGAGGAGGAGGAGGAGGAAAGAAGGACGGATGGATGAAGGTCCTCCCAGCGAGGTGGCATGTTGCTGCCGGCACAGCCTCTTTGGCAGGGAGCTGCTGGGCCCAGTGGGCGTCCGACGGTAGCCCAGCAGCGTCGGCCCAGGGAGAGGCGGGCACTCGAGAAAGGGTCGCGGGGCGGGAGGGGTAGAGCAGAGGGCTTGAGGTCCCAAGTATTCCGACATGCTTAACCCCGACTCGAATGACCCTCGGGCAGATGGTAATGGGAGGGGGCTCAAATGGACGGTGAAGGAAGAGACCCTCAGGGGCCCCAGTTGGTGCCCTAAAGGGCCACTTTCGGGCCCTTTTCTTCACTTCCCATTTGGGTCACCCCCCAGCAGTACCACCCGTCCGAGACCCGGCCTCCTAGCGGAGATGGGCACGCGACGCCCTTGAAGGCAAACGCAAAGAGAGGGGGTCCTCCCGTGTGGTAGGGGGGGAGGGGGGGGCGAACGCGGACCTCCGACAGGAATCCGCGCCCGATCTCGACCCCGCCCCACGCCAACACACGGCGCAGGTGAGAGGCCCAGGGGCAGAGGGAGAGGGGATGAGACCCCGAGCCCAGCCAGCTCCATTTGCCCGCTCCTCCCTGGATGGAGCCCCGCGCCCGACCCAGCCCAGGCCAGCCCTTCCAGCAGCACCCAGCCCAGCCACGCGATGTCCGGGCGGGAGGGGCGGGAAAGGAAGGGAGGAAGGAAGGAGGAGCGAGGAGTAGGAGGAGGAGCAGGAGGAGGACGAGGAGCAGGAGGAGCGAGGAGGAGGAGGAGGAGGAGGAAGAGCAGGAGGAGGAGGAGGAGGAGGAGCAGGATGATGAGCGAGGAGGAGCGAGGAGGAGGAGGAGAAGGAGGAGGAGCGAGGAGCGAGGAGGAGGAGGATGATGAATCGCGAGTGGCGGCGCGGCTTCGGCCGGCCCTTGGCCGATTCCCGCCCGGGCCCTTCCCCGCCGGCGTGCGTGACGGCCCACCTGGTGCCCGCGCCGCCGACGGCGGGAAGGGGCGAGATAATGAGGGGCTATATCTGATGGGCAAATGTTCCACCACCACCACCACCACCATAGGTATGGCGGGGGAGAAGGGAGGATGGAGAGGTCCTCCTCCTCCTCCTCGCTCCTCCTCCTCCTCCTCGCTCCTCCTCCTCCTCCTCCTCCTCCTCCTCCTCCTCCTCCTCCTCCTCCTACCTATGACAGTGGTGGTGGGAAGTCGGCCCATCATCATCGGCGGCGAGGCTGGGCTCCAGACCCCAGGCACTGCCAGCGGCAGCCATGCCGAAAGCACGAGAGACCTCCGGAAACCTCCGGGTGACTTCCGCCCGCCCATGGTGCTGGTGGTGGGAAGTCGGCCCATCATCATCGGCGGCGAGGCTGGGCTCCAGACCCCAGGCACTGCCAGCGGCAGCCATGCCGAAAGCACGAGAGACCTCCGGAAACCTCCGGGTGACTTCCGCCCGCCCATGGTGCTTGCGCGGCGCGCGCGTTGGGCGACTTCTCGCGGTGGGGCAGAGCCAGCCTTCGCAGGCGGTTTTTACCCCCCAGTGCCCGAGTCCCGCCCGAAATCTCCGGCCGCCCAGGAAGAGGGGCAAGCTCTAGCGCACACCCCGCAGGGCTCTTCGGACTCGCCCTTTCTCGAGGATGGACGTGCCCCGATCGTACATCCCAGGGTTGGGCCCGCAATTTCTGGCCACTTCGAGAGCCCCACGAAGCCTGGGAGGCCCCTGGCCGACGTTCGCGGTTCGCTGGGGCGATGATCTCAGGAAGCGGGCCCTTTACGGGGGTTCTGGAGGCCCTCTGGGCCCATCGGGGGAGCACAGGTAGGACAAGGTGGAGCTACAGACGGGACGCGTGACTCATCCTTCCACTACGCAGAACGACGCAATAGGAGAGGTTCCAGAACGTTTTGAAACCAAGGGGGATTGAGGAGGAGGAGGAGGAGGAGGAAAGAGGACATGATGAGACGGAACGGATAATGAAGGGGAGTAGGAGCAGGGCTCGCCAGTAACGTTCATATAACATCTCGAAGGGGAGAGGAGAGGGAGAGGAGGACGAGCAGGAGGATGACGACGATGATGAGGAGGATTCCAGGATGAGGTGGAGGCGGAAGTTTCCGGGCGCGCTTAACGTGCCGAGTGTACAGTAGATGAGAGATTGATCCGCGCTTTGACCGCCCGAGATCTCGCACCAGGTTTGGGGCAGTCGTCTGCGCCGTCCCCAGTCACAAAACAGTGGAGAAGGAGGAGGAAGAGGAGGATCGACTACACGGAAGAGTGACCCTTCGCCGGAGTGACCTTGGTGCGGGCTCATTGGGGTCCCCCGTCCGCCGAACGCGATGCGGCAGTGGCGTCTTGCGCGGTGGGGTTTGGCCCCCCGCGGCCCACAAAAAGCCGCGCACCAAAGGTCATTATTGCCCAAGGTCACTCCTGCGTGTAGCCGAGAGGAGGAGGAGAAGGAGGAGGAGGAGGAGGAGGAGGAGGAGGAGGAGGAGGACGACACTATGAGCACGAGCAGCGAGGTGCGACGGGGAGAAGCAGGAGCAGAAGGGATGAGGAGCAGGAGCCGCGAGGCCCGAGGAGCGAGGAGCAAGGAGCGAGGGGGGGGGGATAGGAACACGAGGAGGAGGACGAGGAGGAGGAAGAGGAGGAGGAGGAGGAGAGGGACAGGAGGAGGAGGAGGGGGAGGAGGAGGGGAGGAGGAGGAGGAGGAGGAGGAGGAGGAGGAGGAGAGGAGGTGCATGAGGAGCGGGGGAAGCGAGAGGGAGGAGCACGAGGAGCAGGATCTGCAGGGTTTCGCGGCAGGAGCAGCCAGGCGCAGGCACAGGCAGCGTCATCGGCCTCTTGCGGCGGCAACACCTCGGGGGCAGCGTTAAGCAGGTTGAGAGAGCGAGGTGGCCCATCGTCGGGGCGCGCGGGGTGGAGCTGGCACCGCCTCCGCGCGGTGGAAAGAGAGGCGGCCTGCGCCCTTTTCCCTCCGAGCGCTCCTGCGGGGCGCCGGAGACTCGCCATCGCTCGGACGTCCATTCCCCATCGCCCGTACGCAACGTTGCCCCCGATCGCTCATGCATCGGGGGCAACGTTGGGGCTTTCGAGCTCTAGCCTGATCTTGAGTCTGGCCTGTCCCTCTACAGGAGGGATGTTCAAAAATAGTGAAAGAATAATATGGGGACGAATTCTTGGACTATTTTTGGGAGTTGTTGGCGCATGGTTTGGCTTTCGTTTAGGTTTTGGCTCAGTCCCGCGGGCCACAGGGGGCCCGTTTGTCTGAGCCCCCAGCCTTCTGCCCCAGGGGCGGAGGGCGCCACGGAGTGCGGAGGGCGCCGCGATAGGCCGCCCTCTCCCGCCTGGCGCAGGCGGCTGCAGAGGCGGCGAGCCCGTGCTCGCAGCCTCCTGGCGCTCGAGCGCGCGAGGCGCATCCTGAAGCACCACCACGGCGACGGCCACCTCGTGGGCATGGGCGCTGGCGAAGGCGGCAAGAGCAGACCACGCTCGAGGCCGTCGTCCCGCGCCCCGTCAAGGCCAAGGACGGAGGGGGGAGAGTACGGGCGGTGCTCGCAACTTGACTGCCGATGCGCAAAGAACTTGGCGCAGTGGCGGTGGTGCAAGCATTGCGGCACGGAGCGCAACGGTGGCTCGGCCAAGCCGCCGTGAGCGCGGGACCGCGACCCCGCGCGAGGCGGCGCTGGCAAGCCTGGTGCTGCTGATGCTGCTGTGCCTGACCTCGGTGTGGACGCCATGCAGGCCTTGGTGGAGTTCGCCGAGAGTAAAGGGGACAAACAGATGGCCGACAAGTACCGCGAGGCCATTCGCATCAAGTCCAAGCCTGAGGCCCCCACGGCCCTGTCCAAGGAGGAGCTGTGCAGCATGGTCGCCATGGCGGAGCGCACAGGGGACAAGGCGACGGCGGCCAAGTACCAGCAGCTTCTGGACCAGGCCGACAATGGGCAGGACGACAAGAAGCCTGCTCAACTCCGAGCCAACAAGGCTCACGCTCGAGTACGGAAGACCAAGGGCAAGCTGGATACCGATAGCGAGAAGCTGTCCTCCTTGCTGCAGCAGGTGGAGTCTCAAAAGGCTCGCGTCTCGGAATTGGTGGTGGAGTTGGAGTCGGCCGAAAGTGAGTACAAAGCGGTAGTGGAAGAAGTGGCGGCAGGGGTCGGCGGCCAGGCCCCCGCGAGAGTGGAGCCATTCAAGCTCTCCCTGGCCAAGCTCATGGACGGGGAGATGGACAATATCGACCTGGAGGACGACGGGCTCTTCGGCTTCGCAGAGTGCGAGGAGCTGGGGCCTGAGGCATTGCAGGAGGCTGTGAAGCGCAAGAAGCAGATGCCCGAGTCGTTCAAGCGCATGGCTGGCGCCTTCTGCGGCGAGGTCCGCCAGAAAGGACAGGCTGTGCAGGCGGAGCACAAGATCATGCGCGGCAGACTCGCGGCGAAGAAGCGTCGTGCTGGAACGGAGGACGGTGCAGGTGACGCTGGTAGTGCAGCTCCAGGTGATCAGGCAGATCAAGCCCCAGAGCCGCAGCCCCAGACGCCAAGGACGACGACGGCTGCTACTGGCAGTGGTTGTGGGCAGGATGCCAGTGCGAGG